TTAAGCAGGTCTACACAGAGGGCCAGTAATTGGCATCAGACCAACCTGGTCGAAAGAGTGAGTTCCGGGACGGTCTGTACCCCCCAAAAAAACCCAAAATGAAACAAAACGGAAAGTTCAATGTCAGTCATGGCTACACAGAAAGTTCCAGGCTAGCCTGATCTGTATAAGACCCTGTCTCAAAACTAAACCAACCAAGCAAACAAACAACAAATGACAGATGTTTGGGACCATAGATGCGTCTATACTGATTTACACCACATTATACAATGTGTAAATTACACAATGTAATGGATTGAACTCTTGAACTCATATAGTATACTAGGTACCTTTGTAAGTAAACTAAAGACACAGACAATACGATACAATGTACTCCTGTGTCACTCCAGGATGGAAGTGAGGTTGGAGCAGGAAAGATGGCTCCGCAGCTGACAGCGTTTACTGCTCTTGCAGAGGGCACACACGAGGGCTCATACACACAAAGGCACACAGATACGCACATAAAAGTAGATAAATACATCCCTGAAAAAGTACACGGTACCACATTTACCTCTCTATGTTTTTTTTTAATGTTCGTATGCGTCAGTTTAAAAACATTCATTCATTTGATTGTGTGTGTGTGTGTTTACCACTTATTTATCCTTGTTTTATGTATGGGGGTGTTGGCCTGCATATGTGTATGTTCTCTGCTGGCTGCCTGGTGCTTAGGGAATCCCAAAAAGTTTGAGTCCTCTGGAACTAGAGACAGTTGTGAGTCACCAGGTGGGTGCTGGGAACGAACGGTGCCTGGGTTCTCCGCAAGGGCAGCAAATGCTCTTAAAAACTGAGCCATCTCTCCAGCCCCACCTGTGTATGTTTTTTAAGATGGGCTGTCGTGCCACAGGTGATCTAGAATTCCTGATCTTCCTGCCTGCCTCCACTCTTACCCAGTGGATAAGAGTGCTGGGAGTACAGGTGTGAGTCATCATGGCTATCTCAGCCTTGGTTTTTATGAGGCTTTGCTATGTAGATCGCGCTGGCTTCAAGTTTGCATCCTCCTACCTCTGCTTCCCTCCAAAAGGTGGCATTAGAAACGTGTGTCACCACACACACACACACACACACACACACACACACACACACACAGCTAACAACAAGCTAACTTAACCCTGTTGCAAGGTCTAAGTACTGACATATCACAGGAGAGAGACTGACAATAAAAATACCAATTGATTAGATTTGGGCTGAAGAGATGCGTCCGTGGTAAAGGGCACTTGCTGCTGTTACAGAGGATCCGGATTCAGTTCCCAGCACCCACACAGCAGCTCCCTGCCACCTGTGACGTCAGTTCCAGGGGATCTGATACAGTTCGCTTGCGTCCCTGGGCACCAGGTCCACATTTGGTACACATACGCACAAGCAGGCAAACACTCAGATACATAAAACACAACACAACAAACAACACATCTTCTAACAAATGAAAAATAATAACAACATAATTAAATTATATAGTATGTCAGGAGGTAGTGAATGCTGTGGAAATGGGAGAATAGGGTGATTGCTTTGCATTTTAATTTTATTTCAGGGAGGATAAAACCCATGACCTATTCACTCGGCGTGTATTGACAGCTGCTGTGTGCTCCTGTCCTGCACACCAGCCAAGAGTATTCTTTCCAACGGGGTTAATGAAGGCTTCTCAGACAAAGTAACCTTTATGGCACAGACACGAAGGGGATGAGGCAGTGAGGCGTGACTTGGAAGAAGGGCACTCCAAGCAGAGAGGCGGCGAGCTGAGTGCGCTCACGTTGTTGTCCCTATTGCGGAAAGGGGCCGCACTGCCTGCGGTGGAGTCCGGAGGAGAGGAACCTTCTAGCGATGGCTCAAGAGTTCTGTCTTTCCGCCTTCCCTTTGCAAACCCGGGCCTAGTGCTAGGCGCTTCTTCCAGGGGCTGTTCGGGCAACCCCTAGACTTGGCTCCGGAACGCTACAGGCGATGGTCATCTTCTGTGGCTTCCCCCCCCCCCAACCCCGTTAGTCTCACTCAAACCACAAGACCTATTTAACATAGCAAAGCAGACTTGGCCTCCAGCTTCTCCAAACAGCCCTCAGTCCCTACTTCTCACCGGGTCTGGTTGGCACACCCCGCCCTCTACCTTCCCCCTCACCCTCACCCAGTCTCCAACCCAGGAGCCGGGCTGCCCTTCCCCCAGAGGCTCCTCCCTCTATAATCCAGCCACTTTGGCTTCCCGCCCTCTTTTACCTTTTGTCCTTTTTCTTGGCACCTGGCTCCCCTCCTCCTCTTCCTTCCCCTCCTCCTCTCTTCACCTGGCTCAGGGGCATGTCCACTTTGGACTCTCCCAAATGTCTCTTCCTCTGGCTACGTCCTCCCTTTCACCTAAAATAAACTTTCTCCTCCCTCATACCTAGGAGCAGCAGTCATGACCTTTCCTTTTTATTTCTTTATTATTATTATTTATATCCTCGAACCAGAATACAGCTGACTCCTGTGGTGTGCACACATTTAATTCCGGGCAGATCTCTGTGAATTCCAGGCCAGCCTGGTCTTCGTATCGAGTTCTAGGTTAAGAGTACATAGTGAGACCCTGTCAACATCCTGTCCACCTACATGAAACAAAACACACACACACACACACACACACACACACACACACATCACTATCAGGCAGATGCCAGCTTGGTCTATAGAGTGAGTTCCAGGACAGCCAGAGATACACAGAGAAACCCTGTTTCAAGAAGAAAAAGAAAAAAAAATCCTCCCATCCCCAAAACACAAACAATCAAATCAACAAAACAATCCTATTGCTGAAGATGCAACCCATTGAGGACAAAGACTGTGGGACACAGGGATCACGCTGACCTCGAGCGGGAGGTTTCCCCTCTGCCGAACGGAGTTTATAATGCCAGGAGGTGCTACGCCGGCCTCTGAAGGGGAAAAGTCATCAGTGGTCTTACCCAGAGATGGCCCCCCAGTGCTATGACATTGACCTGCCAGGCAAGATATGCCCACTGGTGCCATAGCGACGCGGCAGTTTTGAGGGTAACCAACCATTTTCGAATCGGGCGCTTTTGGAAGAGAGGGCAGAAAGGTGATAAGAGCCGGAGGCAAGGTGGAGATCGTCATGAAGGGCTGTCTACTGGATATGACAGGATCCTTGTGATCATGAACCCAGGAGCACAGCAGCTGCGGCGGCTGCCCAAGACCTTTGAGAACACACACCAACTCACACACATACACAGACCAACTCTCACACACTCACACATACTTACACACACATACCCCCTACATGCTCTCTCTCTCTCTCTCTTTCTCTCTCTCTCTCTCACACACACACACACACACACAGGTGCATAGGCATGAAAGTAGGAGACAGATTAATTCAGAAGAAGAAGGGGGTCAGAAAGAGTGGGAGGAGATAAGTGAGGGTTCATTGGGAGTGAATATGATCACAATGCATTGTAAACAGATATAAAATTGTCAAAAATAAGAGGACGAAAGCCTGGGCTTCTGGGAGAGATTTTTATATCAGCCTTATACCTTATTAGCTGAATTTATCATCATCATCATCTTTTCCAGAGCCCTGCCTGCCGTCTTGGACTCACTTTGCAAACCAGGCAGGCATTGAACTCACCTGCTTCTGCCTCTGGAGTGCTGGTATTAATGGCGTGAGACATCACACCCAGCTGAAATCATTATCTTTTTGTGTCTTGGCCAAAAAGTTTGTGACGTGAGATGACAGCATTCCATTTGCCAGATGTCTGTTCTTTAGACTTGATGAAGAACCTCCAGCATCCTTCCCTCCACTCTTCTTTTCTTCCTTCCTCCCTTCTTTTCTTCTCTCCTCCTCTCCAGTTTTCTTTCTGTAGTATTATCCCTGTCCCCATCATTTCACCTCCCTCCCTCCCTTCCTTCCTTTTTTCCTTCCTTCTTTTTATTCATCAGTCTTGTCCTTTTTTGCCAGTTCAGAATGGAACCTGGTTCTCTGGGGTGGAAACCCAGGCCTTCAAACATGCTAAGCTCCTGCTTTACCACTGGATGCTGCCTCAAGCCCACAAGTCTTTCTTTTTATCTTTTCTCTCTCTCTCTCTTTTTTTTTTTTCTATTTATTTGGTTATTTATGACAGGGTTTCATTTGTATAGGTTAGGCTGATGTCCAGCTCTCTATCCATGCCTGGTATTTTGTTTCTTTGACCAATCTACGTAGCTGTGCATATGGGTTCTGATATTCCCAGGGTTAGTGAATCCTTCCAGAAGTTAGTGAATCGCTTTTTGCAAATACAAAGATGACATGTGTGTGTATGTGTGTGTGTGTGTGTGTGTGTGTGTGTGTGTGTGGCCCGGTTCAGGTTCATAAGATGTACACCATACAAACTTCTGCCTGGTTCCTTCCCATTTCCAGTGCAGAGAGGCCAGACAGTGGTGCCTGGACAATCACTCTCGGAGAAGGTGGTTGGGATGGGCGGAAGATCCGGTTGGCAGTGATTGCTGGCCAAGGAAGTGAAGCAGGAACAGAGGACCCTGGACAGGTACGCTGTATTGAAGTACAGAGACCCTGTGGCTTCCAGCATCCTACTGCTGTGTCCTCCTCCCAGTACTCAGGCACTGGCACGTGACAGGGCCAGGATGGGGTGTTGGGCCAGGATGGGGTGTTACAGAGATTAATCTTTTTGTTTGTTTGTTTTTCGAGACAGGGTTTCTCTGTGTAGCTTTGGCTGTCCTGGAACTCGCTCTGTAGATCAGGCTGGCCTCGAACACACAAAAATCCTCCTGCTTTCACCTTCCAAGTGCTGGGATTAAAAATATACAAAGCCACTGCCCGCACAGGTAATCGCAGCTGGGATCGGCCTTTGACCAGCGCAGTTCTTTGACCAGCAAGGAGGAGGTGACACTTTCCCCCAAAACAAACAATTCAACTTTACAGTTCGCTTCATTTCACGGAGACAAACGTGCGAACAGTTTGGGCCTACAGAGGCTCCCGTAGCTAAGGGGCGGAGCCCGGAAGAAAGCAGGATGGCGGCCCTGGACAGTGACAACGACGAGGACCTCATCAGCTATGGGACAGGCCTGGAGCCTCTGGAAGAAGGTGAGGATCAGAGGGCCGGCGGAGTCTGCTGGGCGCAGGCTGGGAGTGCAGCACGTGGGCGCCAGTGACAGCTCGAGCTGGCCCGCTCGCTGCGGGCACCGGGGAGGCACACGCCGGGGAGGCGTGTGCTCCGCACTTGGGAGCCGCGTTCTCGGGGGCGGGGGGGCAGAGAGGGACACGGAGGGGTGGGCGATGCAAGAATGACTAAGCAGCTTGAGTGTGATGGAGGGTGATGAGGCAGTGTCTTGCCGTGAGGGAACATTTGCGCTCAGGCTTGAATGAAAAAAAAAGAAAAAAATCAGCCCTGGAAAGATCGGGGAGAAACACTTGAGATAAGAAATCCTTAAAAGGGGAGCGAGCTTAGCAGTGCAGGGATAGTCGGGGCAAATGTGGGTGGCACACGCAATGGTAAGGAGTTTGGAGTGTGCGTGTGTGCGCCGCGTGTATGCACGGCGCTTGCGTGCTGTTGAGGATGGAATCCAGGGGCTCCTGCGTGCTAGGCTAGCACTTTACAACTGAGCTCGAGAATTGGGATCTTTGTTAGACTGGGCCTTATGTAGCTCATGCTGACCTCGAATCTACCATATTGCCCAGAGTAGCCTTGAACTCTTGCTCTCCCTGTCCTTACCTTCCATGTGGTTGGTTTGCAGCTAGGAGTTTGGCTCTTATTATTAAGGTTAGGAGAAGTCCTTGCTTCAGTTTAAACAAGGAGAGATGTATTTTTCCCCCTTTTTGTGGGCGGTGGTGGGGGCGGCAGGGTCTTGCTATCTCCACTTGGCTGGCGTCTGCCTGCCTCTCTGCCTCTCAGGTGCTGGCATTAAAGGTGTGTGCCACAAGCATTCTACAACTGAGCCCTGTCCCCAGCCCGAGCAGTTCTAAGCATTAGAAATGCTCGCCAGATCCTGGCTCTACCCCTACCCTCTGCTGACCAAAGGGACGGAAGTCTAGTTTCTGGACAAGTTCTTGTATGTTTGAAGGTTGCCCTTGTGTTTCCTGGGAGATGTCTATTTTACACCCACCGCCCTCAGTTCTGTATTGAATTCAATTTAAACACCGCCCCTGCCCCCCCCCCCCCCCCAGCCCTGTTGCAGAGTTATTCTCCAAGGAGAGCACACTGGGGAGTGGAGCAGAGCGGTCACAACCACGTTCCTGATTCTAGACTGTTTATTCAATACAATTAAGATCACATCTATCGGCAAACACAACACCTTGCGAATCTAAAGAATCAGTCAATAACGATCTTTCTCTGGAGGAATTTCAGATTGAGTAGAGGACAAAAAGCACACGATTTTGCAAGTGCTAAAGTATGTGACATTATTGGAGAATAGCCTTCACAAGCTAACAGAGAGAGAGGAGAGGAGAGTCGGGGCCCTGGGAAGACTGGCTAGACAGTAGGTATGGAAGAGGGCAAGGGTTATTCATGCGTGCATGACGGGTCACTAGAGCTGTGTTGAGAGCAACCATTTGTACCATTTCTGTATTTCTGGTCATACAGTGGTTTCCTTGAGAAGACAAGTGCTCTTAGGCCATCAACTTTTTGAGCTTGATTTTTTCTAATTTCCCTATAATTTTGAATTATATCATTATTATGGTGGGAGAGTATCCATGTGACACAGTTTGTGTGCGGAGCTCAGTGACAACTTTCAGGAGCCGCTCCTCTCCCATGTAGGTCCCAGAGATTAAACTCAGGTTGTCAGCTTTGGTAGCAAATGCTTTTATCCACTGAGGTGTCTTGCCAAGCCCTCCAGTTCTTCCTGTTTTTTTGTTTTTTGTTTTTTTTTTAACCAAAACTACAAATGCAACAAACTTATCTAACTATGCTTTTGAGGTGAAAGAAAAGGACATTGATTTGTAGACTTATCTCTTTTTTTGATCTAGAAACATTTTTTTAAAGTTTTATTTTATTATTTATGAAATGTAGGTCAGTGTTTGCGGAGGACTGCCCAAAGAAGGCATTAGATGTCTTGGAGCTCATTTACAGGCAGTTGTGAGCTGCCTGGTATGGGTACTAGGATCCAAATTTAGGTCCTTTGGAAGAGCAGCGAGTGCTTTGGACTGGTGAGCTGTCTCTCCATTTTGTTGGTGTACTTTTTAAACTCTTTTGCTTAAATTTCTTTTATCTTTTTCTCCCTACTTTATCCCAGTCCCTTCCAACACCCCAACACCAGGTAGGAGAGAGAAGGGGATAGTGGGAGGGGGGACTGTTCTCTTAGCTGCTTTCTGCTGGTTAGGGTCATCGGGTTCCTTGGAGCCAGTCCAATCCTCCTTTCATGAGATCTGTAACTTGTCTCACAATAGCAACCAGGAACAGTGAGGGGGAAGCAGGAGCAGCCATGTTCTTTCTCAGAATTTCACACTCTCTGGGCTCTGGCATTTATTCTGTCTCCAGAGTCCTCAGATTTGAACTATCTGCAGCTGGCAAAGAGCTCCTCTCAGAACCTGCATGAGGCAAATAGTCTGCTGCCGTGGACCATCTGAATCAGTCCCACATCCCACACTGGGGCCAAAACAAAAACATTATATCCACAATACTAGTTTGTCTGGAAATACTTTTGCGACTTTAGCGTTATAAGTTTTAGAACTTTCTCCCTCCCCTCTTCCTTGCTTCCCTCTCTCCCTTCTGCCTTCCTTCCATAGAACCCAGGGCCTTCTGTGTGCTGATCTCACTCTCCAACTCTGAGCTACACTGTGGCCCCTGATCCACAGCGCTCTAAACACTTTGAAGCTTCTGGCTGCGTTTTTACAGCACAACTAGGCCAATAATCACTCTCTCCTGCTTTGAACATTGGCAGAGGACTGGCTCCTCTGGCTTAATTAAACCGTAATTAAAATTGCTGGTCCCAACAGCAGGATTATTGGTTAAGAATTAACTAGGAAGTTTAGTGACAGTGTCCGGGAAGGAGGAAGCCCACAGTCCTCAGACATCAACTTCTCATCTCCAGCCCTCCTGGATAGATTCTCTTTAGGGCTATTTTCCTTCTCCTTGGTGCTTGCGACTATCGCCCTTAAACCTACCTAGATGTCCCTCGATAACGCAGAGCATGTCACAGACCCTGTAGTGCCATGCTCTAGGGCCTTGAGCTGCCAGCCTTTTCTCCTGGCTCCATCTCACACTTCTCCCTGCTCTTCTAGTGCAACTGGACGGTCTCAGTTTACCTAACTTTTTTTTTTTTAAGATGTTTTGTTTTGTGGGGAGGGGAATGCTTTGGATTAAATCAGGGCTTTATGTGTGCTAAGCATGTGTTCTTCTGTGTTAGGATTCCTGCCTCCTCAAGCCCAGTATTGCCCTATCCGACCTCCTGTGTGCAGAGGGAAGCTACCACTCCTGTTGGAATTGTCTTTATCTGCAGCTAACAAAATCCTGCTCCTTCTGGGGCCCTTCACACTGTCAGACCTCCTATGCAGTTCTCTGCCGGTTCTGTATTTAGCATTTTTTTATTCAGGTCCAGAGCCAGGCTTCTTCCCTGGGGTGAGGCATCTGTGACCTAGCTGAGGAATAAGCAAGGGCCAATGTGGGTGGTAGTTCTAGCTTGGAGATAGAGCTGAGATCTGGCCCAGCTCTGTGCTTATTAACTGTGGACCTCAGGCAGTTGCTTAATAAGTACCCTTACCCAGGTATGACAAATGAAGCAACTTATCGGCCCATAATCCGGCCCGCCGATAGTTGTTATTAGTGTCGGTGATTACAGTAGGGCCTGGCTAAAGTACCACCTCCTCTCTGGAGTTTTCCCATCACCGTGGTTGGAGACGGCACCATCTCCTGAGAAGTTCTGCGGGGCCAGGTGGTGGCTCACGCGACCTGCCGCCACCAGTCCCACTTAGTTGTCTGCAGATAATATCTCCCCTTCCGGGTCGAGAAGGCTTGAAGGATCGCACCCAGCACTGGCAGGAAGGCCCTCCCTCACCTTAGCCCAGTGCTGCCCAGCTGCAGGTGATTGGCAAAGTGGGGGAGGGGCCAAGCCTGCCACAGATGCAGCTAAACACCCCGAAGCACTCAACAGCTCCCCAACAACAAAGAGTTACACAGAACAAACTGTGAGTAGTGCCAAGACGGAGAAATCTGGCCAACGCAGGACACAGAGCAATGTGTGTGCCAGGCGCACAAAGAGCAATGCGTGTGCGTACCAAGTTTTTAAGACATGGGGAAAATTGGAGGTGGAAAAGCCAGCATAGTGGCTTGAGCCTGTAATCTCAGTACGCAAAAGGTAGACCTGGAAGGATCAGAAGTTCAAGGTCATCCTTGGCTCATATAGTAAGTTTGAGGCTTAGGGTTCATCCTGGGTACACGGGACCCTGATTTTGTATTTGTTGTTTTGCTTTTTAAAGAAAACAAAACAAATGGTGAAAACCCTGCATTGTGAGACCCTGGTTGTGGCTCAGTTTTTTGTGGGTTTTTTTTTTTTTTCGTTGTTTTTTAAGTATACAAGGCACTCTAGAGAGATTAAGTCCTTTGCCCAGGACCACAAAATGAATACGTTGTGCCACAGGAGGACGTGAACTCAGATTGCCTGGCTTCTTAGTATAGCTCTTTTGATAGGGGAATTGGGACAGGGTGGAGTCACGTGAGGCAGGATCTCCTGTTAGCCCAGGCTGGACTCATAGTCAGCAATCCTCCCATCTCAGTCTCCCAAGTGCTGGGATTAAAGGCATGTATCATTATGCCTGACTTTGTAAACAATTAATTTTGTTCAAAAAAAAAAAAAAATGAGAACTGGCCTAATTAATGAAGTCATGGGTATTAATGAAGCCTTCCTTTCAGGGATACCTCACTTATGACACAGGAAATTAATTGCAAGAGCAGCAACTGCTTGCCAGGCGTGGTATCACACGCCTGTGATCCCAGCACTCAGGAGGCAGGCGGATCTCTTGGGAGTTCAAGGCCAGCCTGGTCTACAAGGCGAGTCCAGGAGAGCCAGGGCTCTGTTACACAGAGAGACCCTGCCTCAGACAAACAAAAAAGAGCAGTATTGCTAGCATCCTCAAAGTGCTTTCCCTGTGTCCTTCCTGCTGAGCTTCTCACAAGCGGTGTCTAACTTCTGCACGCACACAACTTTGAAGTGGCTGCTGGTTTATTTGTTTCTGTGATCAGGTCTCTAGCGCAGCCCTGTCACCTTCAGGAGTGTGGATTGCAGGCACGCCCCTGTGTCCCATCAGGCGTTATTACTGTTAACGTCATTCCCGTGTTAGAGCTGGGACAGTGGAGGCCTGGAGGCTCAGCTGACTGAAGTCCAGCACCAGGAAGGGGGGGAGTTAGCTCTGGAGAGCCTGGGACGTTGTGACTATAACCTTATGCATGCCCTTAACGGGCCGCACACCTGCTTCTTGTTGCCAACATTCGTGGGTAACAGGTGTGTGCCACCACACCTGGAGTCTTTCCGCATTTTAAATAAATGCAGAACTTTTGAGGTGTAGGCTGCAGTTTGTCAGAACACTTAAAACACTACGGAACTCGGGCTTAGGCTAAAAGCACGCAGCAGCCTTTGCTTGTTCACTGTACCAGCCCATCAACCCTGTTTGGAAAGGAAGACATTTAAAAATCATTAGTTGTGGGCCGGAGAGAGATCAGTGGGTGCTTGCGGCCAAGCCCACAGCGTAAGTCTCCACCCTGGGACCCACGTGGCATGGCGAGTAAACACGTGAGCTTATCAGCTTTCAGAGCCTGCCCCTGTGATGCACTTTCCCAGCACAGGGCTTCTCTGTGTAGCCCCAGCTGTCCGGGAACTGGCTTTGCAGACCAGGCTGGCTTTGAACTCAGAGACCCACCTGCCTCTGCCTCCTGAGTGCTGGGAATCTGACCTCAGGCTCTCATGCTTGTATGGAAGCAGTCTACCCCCTGAGCCATCCACCCAGCTTCGACATTCTTGCTGCAGCATATTTCTTAGCAGAATCTTCTACAACATATTCTCTTACAAGCTATAAGCTAATAAGGTCTAGAAACAGCAACTTCAATTAAATGGTTATACATAGAGTTATAAATGAATTCATTGTGTTTCAGGAATGACATTTTCCCTACATTCTTTCCAAATCATCATACCCCTCTCTCTTTTTTTCATGAACTTTCTTTTCCAGGCGAAAGACCAAAGAAAGCCATTCCTCTTCAGGACCAGACTGTCAGAGATGAGAAAGGAAGGTACAAACGCTTCCACGGCGCCTTTAGTGGCGGTTTCTCTGCAGGCTACTTCAACACCGTTGGCTCGAAGGAAGGTACGGCCCCCTGTAGCTCAGGTCCCCCTCATGGCTTATGTGTGTGTAGTCAGGTCTCACCAGGAAGCTCAGGCCAGCCTGGAACCCAAGATTCTCCTGCCTCGGCCTCCTGAGTGCTGGGGTGACAGGCAAGAGCCCCCATGTCAAGGTCCCCAAACGTGTTGGTACACACACCACAGATACTCTCTGAACATCTGCTGCTCCCGGGGCTGGCTTACATGCTGTCGGGTGCAGCAGCCTGAAAGTGAAGACTTTCCTTCCACTCTGGAAAAGGGAGAGATTCCAGCAGGCTGACTGAACCCAGGCAGTGACTTCCACTCATTTTCTTTGCCCTAAGTCCCCTCAGGCCGACTCCCAGCTGACCGCTGACCGCCGACCGCTCCTCTGACTCACTGAGTAAGGACAGGTGTCGCAGGTGTTTTGCAAACGCAGGTGTTTTGCAGATGGGGCACCTGGGGTCATAGAGGTCATGGAGCCAGCACAATATCAGAACTGCCCCGGCATCACCTGACACAGGACTGCACACCAGCTACTATCTGCTGGTGACCTGGAAAAAATCAATTAAATGTCACACTATGTAGTATAATCAGTTCTATCATTAAAGTAATGCATCTTCTTTTCCTTTCTCTTTCTTCTTTCTTTCTTTCTTTCTTTCTTTCTTTCTTTCTTTCTTTCTTCTCTCTCTCTTTTTCTCTTTCTTTCTTTCTTGATCTCTTTCTCTCTCTCTCTTTCTTTTTCTGTCTCTCTCTCTCTCTTTCTTTCTTTCTTTCTTGCTTGCTTAACAGGGTCTCACTATATAGACCAGGCTTCAGGTCCATTTGCTCTGCCTCTTGAGTGCTGGAATTACTGGCATGTGCCACCCAACTTCCGGAATGTTTTCTCAGTTAGGGGCTGGGGATACAGCGCAGGACCTCACTGCAGGCTGCAGCAGGCACTGAGCTACATCCCTAGTCTGGTCTACTGAGTGAGTTGCAGGCTGGCCAGGCCTTGATAATGAGACTCCATCTTAATAAACAAACCACAAAATGAAATACTGTCTAGGACTGTAACAGTCTAAATTCTTTCCTTTCAGGATGGACACCCTCTACCTTCGTGTCTTCAAGACAGAACAGAGCGGACAAATCTGCTCTCGGACCTGAAGACTTTATGGATGAGGAGGTGGGTCAGGCAGCGACCCCGTGTCCTTGCAGCGCCTTCCCTCTCCCCAGAAAGCCCACATGGCGTTCCTCCTGTGATGAGACTTTTATCTCTGAGATGTCTGCGCTGTGCCCTGTGTGCCAGTGGCTTCTCCATCACTCCAATGTCCGTGCTGGGGACAGCAGGGCAGTTCCCAAAGTCAGGAGTTTCATGTAAAGGCAGATGGCTGGGAATTCTCCAGTTGCCCTTATCTGAGCATCCATGGTGCTGAGCCTGTGGCTCTTCACAGTAATCCTGAAGCACCCCATGCTTTAAGGAACAGTGAGCTGGCTAAACCTCCTGTGCCCTGAAGACCTAGGCATGGATTCACCCAGGAGTGTGGTCAAGTACAGTCCAGCAAGCTGTAAGCCACCAGGAGGAAGCCTTAAACAGCAATAACACAGATCCTGGGTCTTGCCATGTAGCCTAGGCTGGCTCCCCTGCTGCTCCAGCCTCCCCTAGTGTTAGGATCATAGGCAAGTCCACCACATCTGAGTCCTCTCTCGCTTTAAATTTTCATTATTAATGTGGATAGGTGTTTTGTCTGCATGTATGTACGCACACCACAAGAGGGCATTGAATTGCATGGGACTGCAGTTACAGACGGTTGTGAGCTGCTATGTGGGTGCTGGGAATTGAACCCAGGACCTCTGGAAGAGCAGCCAGTGCTCTTAACCACCGAGCCATCTCTCCAGCACCCAGACCTTTCTCTCTCTCTCTCTTTTTTGCATATTTATAGGAAACTGATCTCTATTTAAAACTCACATGCTGTGTGAGTTTTAGCGTAAGTTGTTTGTGTGTGTGTGTTAGTTCAAGTGCACGTGTTTTGTGTGTGTTGGTATATGTGCATTTGTTTTGTGTGTGTATAGTACAAGTGCATTTGTGTGTGCGTGTGTGTAGCGGGACTTCCGGACTAACAAGTGGTGTAAATAATTACACGAGACTCTTAATGTTTAAATCTTGGGCCGTTAGCCAGGCAGATTCTCAGCTGGCTCACCCAACTACCCAGCCCCCGACCTGCCGTTCTTTAGCTCTGCTCGGTCCTGGTGTGTCTGCGCCTTCCCGTGTCGCTGGTGAATCTCCTTTGCTTTCTTCCCAAGGTTCTTCTCTTTGCTGGAAGGTCCACCCTCCGCTCTCTGACCAGCTATTGGTCTTCAGCTCTTTATCCAGTGGTCGAGGACCTGGCTTAGCTATCCGCTGGTTCCCAGTTAACAATCGAATACAAAGAGATACCGCCACACAATGCACCCTACTGTGTTTGTGGGTGTGTTAGTACAAGTGTATATGTTTTGTGTGTGTGTGTGTGTATGTGTGTGTGTTGGTACAAGTGCGTTTGTATTTGCTGTGTGTGTATAAATGAACTAATTCTGTTTAATCTTCTTCTTTGAAGGATCTTAGTGAATTCGGGATAGCTCCTAAAGCAATTGTTACCACAGATGATTTTGCTTCCAAAACCAAAGACAGAATTCGGGAGAAGGCCAGGCAGCTGGCAGCTGCTGCAGCCCCTATTCCTGGGGCCACGCTGCTCGAAGACCTCATCACCCCAGCAAAGTGAGAAGGGCTTCTTCCCTGGCATCGGTGCTTCGTGTGTGGTTGTCTTCCTCAGGGAAGGAAGGTGCTGTCTGACTGGACGCCTGCGTGAAGCAGGGCTTTCGCCCAGAGTGTCTCCCTTGACCACTGCAGTGGGAAGCCGTTAGGAGCTGGGGTGCTTGTCCTTCCTCTCCTCCCTCGCAGCTCTACCCTGCCTGCACTTCCCCCTCCCTCTCTCCCTCCCTCCCTCCCAACGTCCCTTCCCTGTCTCCTCACCCTTAGCTTGAGGACAGTTTCATTAGCGTTTAAAGTCACATCCCCTTCCCAAGAGTAAGATGTGAATCTCAGAGCTGCCTAGACAAGGGGAATAGGAGGAGAGAATGGGGATCGGGAGCCTTCCTCTTAAAGCTAGCTTGTCCAGCAGACACACACAGTGGTGAGGGGGCCTTTGAGAAACAGTGAGGAAGACCGAAATGTTGGTGAGGCCCGAAGTGCTAGGGCGAGAGTGCTTAGAGAAGAGACAGAAGAGAAGTGTGTTTTTCCGATTAAGCGGGCAGAGCCGTGAGGCTGCAGGACTGCCACCCAGCTGGATTTCTGTATTTCTGTCTTTCTCCCCTGGGTGTGTGGCCCGCTCAGACTTTCCTGGTGCCCCTGGGCCACGCTTCCTTGACAGGGACCGCCCAGAGTCTCTACAGGCCATGAAGGCACCGCTGTGTCTCCCCTGGTTCACCCGTGCTCCCAAGCCCAGGCAGCTGTGGCTGGGCCCCAGGCGTGTGCCCACGTGCTGTAGACAAACATAGACAAGACAGGCAGAGGAGCTAGATCGGAGCTGTCTGTCAATGGTGAGGTTCACTGTCCCTGTTTCCACATCCTGTCTAGACTGTCTGTTGGCTTTGAACTGCTAAGAAAAATGGGCTGGAAGGAAGGACAAGGAGTTGGCCCTCGAGTGAAGAGAAAGCCACACCGACAGAAGCCGGGTACGCCTGACGGTGGCCGCTTATACAATGCACGTGTTGGTTGATTGGTTTAGTGGGTGTTTGTTTGTTTGTTTGTTTATTGTTATTTGGTTTTTCAAGACCGGGTTTCTCTGTGTAGCCCTGGCTGTCTTGGACTCATTCTATAGACCAGGCTGGCCTCGAACTCATAGTGATCAGCCCTGCCTCTGCCTCCCTGAGTGCTGGGATATGCCACAGAGCCTGGCTGACTGGTTTTGTTTTGTTTTGTGAGACAGGGTTGAAGTCTGCCACTCAGGCTTCCTGGAACTCAGTGTAGCCCAGGCTGGCCTCAAACTCACGATTCTGCTGTTTCAGGCCCCTGAGTGTTGCGTTTATAGCAATGTGCCATGACCCTTAACTACAGTGTACTTTTAAAAAATAGGATTTATTTATTAATAGCTGGGCACAGTTTCACATACCTTTAAACCCAGCGCTTGGGATGCAGAGGCAGGTGGATCTCTCAAGTTGAAGTCCAGCTGGTCTACACAGCTCCAGCACAGTACTACCTAGGGAGACCCTTTCTCAAAAAAAAAAAAAAAAATTATTTATTTCATGTATGCATATGTGTGTTTTTCTGGCGGTTCTGTGTGTACCACAGTGTGCAGTGTACCCTGGGAGGCCAGAAGAGAGTGTCGGAGTCCCTGGGGCTGGAATTGACCTATAGTTTGAGCTATCATGTGGGTTCTGGGAATGGACCCCACATCTCCTGCATGAGTCACAAGTGCTTGCAGCCACTGTGCTACCTCGACAGCCCCCCATGTTTCTGAAAGCTGCATATTTCCAGAAATAGACGGCCGAGTCAGGTGGCAAACACACAGCATATAACTTCTGGAAGCACTGTACAGGTTCACATTCTTGCCAAGAGTGTAAAAGTTTGCTTTCCAGCCACACCTTCGGTGAATCACAGAGGCAGAGTTCAACATTATTATTTCCTCCTCCTGCTTCTACTTATTTATTTATTTGTTTGTTTGTTTGTTTGTGCTGGGATTGAACCTAGAGCTTTAGCTCTGCTGTGCTCCCAGCTTAATATTCTTCTTTTCTGTTCTCTCCTTGCCCTCTGTCCCCAGACTGTGAGTAAACTCCTTGAAGGCAGGAGTGATTTCCTTTGGGTCCATGCAGTACATTACTGGAACACAGGTGGGCTGTGCCTGTCATCCACCCGGAACCCTAAGGCTGCAGCACCTTTACAAGTGTGCCTCTGAAGGGTGTCAGTGACTTGGGGTTTATTCTTAGTCGCTCCTGACTAATGCCTTCGGAATCTCTTTTGCAGATCCGGGTGTTAAGATCTATGGCTGCGCGCTGCCGCCTGGAGGCCCTGAAGGGTCTGAGGTACGTTAGAGTAGTGTGTGCGACTTCATGATGGTGAAAATTTAGGGTCTCAAGCTGGGAATATAGTTCAGTGGTAGAGCCCGGCATGTGCAAAGCCATGGGTCTGATCCCTGTCACTGAGAGAAGATGAGAAACTGCCAGGCATGCTGGTGCATACCGGTAATTTAAGTCCAAGGTAGGCTGAGGCAGAAAGAGAAGTCTCCAGGTCTGACTAGCCTGAGCTATGTAGTGAGACTCTGCCTCAGACCCAGTGGGATGGCTCAGTGGGCAAGGTGCCTGCTGCCAAGCCTGACTGCATGTGATCCCTGGGAGCCACGATGTATGGAGAGAACCAGCGCCCACAAGTTGTCCTTTGACCCCACGTGCACTCCGTGGGATGCATGCCTGTGTGCACACGTATGTGCACACACAATTTCTCTCACACACATAAAGAAATGAATAATTATTTAATGAAATGTAATAATTAAAAAAAATTTCAACGACAACCAAAAATCCCAGACAGACAAAACACCCAGGCAAACAGAGAAATAAATAAATAGCGAGGTCATAAGCATTGTTAGGAATCTGTTAGTGTCCACTGTCATGAAATACCCATATCCTTTCTATGTCAGCTGATAGAGTCAGCAACTTGCTAGCGTCATAAATATCCCAACTCAGTTCTTTTTTTTTTTTTTTTCAAGATATTTATTATGTATACAATGTTCTATCTGCATGTACACCTGTGCTCCAGAAGGGGGCACCAGATCTCACTATTAGGGGTTGTGAGCCAGCATGTGGTTTCTGGGAAAACTGAACTCGGACCTCTGGAAGAGCAGCCATCTCTCCAGCCCCTGCTGTCTCAGTTCTTACTTACTGATTGATTGACTGATCAGTTGAGATAGATGAGGTCTTACTATGTAGCCCTGGCTGATCTGGACTCACTGTGTAGACCAGGCTGGCCTTGAGCTCACAGAGATTCACCAGCCCCTGCCTCCTGAGTGCTGGGATTAAAGCTGTGCATCACCATGCCCTGCCTGTTCTTATTTATGTTTTGTGGTGGTAGTTTTAAAAGGTGGGACCTTGCATGCTAACCATCTACGTTCCTGGGAGCCACACCCCTGATCTTTAGATTTTCTTTGGAAAAAAAAAAATTTCTTTTTCTCTTAAATTTAGTGTTTGTACATGTGCCTGCTAGTCTCTTTGTACGTACAGGTGCCTACAAAGGGCAGAAGCGGCATCAGAACTAGAGTTAAAGGCGGTTATGAGCTGCCTGATGTGGGTGCTGGCAACTGAACCCTGGTCCTCTGCAGAAGCAGCAAATGCTCTTAACACTGAGCCATCTCCGCAGCCTCTGTTCACAGCAGTGGTTCTCACCCGTGTGTCGTGACCCCTTGGAGGGTTTAATGACCCTTTCCCAGGGTCACATATCAGATACTTACATTACCATTCCTAACACCTGCAAAGTTACAGTCATGAAACAGTTTTAACTGGTATTAATGGTAAATAGTATTTAACAATGACATAGTCTTGTAGCTAGGGTTCACCATAACATGAGGAACTGTATATTTTTTCAAGATTTATATATTTGTTTTGTCAGTGCTCTGTCTGCATGTACACCTGCATGCCAGAAGAGGGCATCAGATCACATTACAAATGGTTGTGAGCCACCGTGTGGTTGCTGGGAAATGAGCTCAGGACCTCTGGAAGAGCAGCCATTGTTCTTAAGCGCTGAGCCGTCTCTCCAGCCCGAGGAACCGTATTAAAGGGCTGCAGCATTAGGAAGGCTGAGAACCCGTGGCCTAGTGTCTCACTCTGACGTTGCTTTTGTTAGTATCCTTTCTTTGGGGGTGGGATATGGTCACTCCCGGCAGCAGAATGGGAGCTTGGCAACTGCTGTGTTTGGAATTAATCGCTGAACCCTAAATGACTTGACACCCACATTGAGTCACCCTAATTCCTCCTCAAACATTTGCAATAGGACGAAGATGATGACTACTTGCCCGACAATGTGACCTTTGCTCCTAAAGACGTCACGCCTGTGGATTTTACACCTAAAGATAACGTACATGGGCTGGCCTACAAGGGCCTGGACCCCCACCAGGCACTGTTTGGGACTCCAGGAGAACACGTGAATCTTTTCGGCGGAGCATCTGAGGGCACCAGCCATCTTCTTGGAGACGTGGGACTGAGCAAAAGAAGAAAACTGGGCATTTCTGGCCAGGTAAACATTTCCGTACTGTAAAGGCAGAGACACTGGTAGAAAGTCTGTTCCCATGTTAGGTCAGCCCAGAGCAGGCCCTTTGTTTCCTCTTTGAGGACTTTGAGGTCCTGTGCTGTTCCCACACTCTGCCTCTTTCTCTCCGTGTCTTCCTTTCTCTTTTTCTCTTCCTCTGTCTGTCTGCCTGCCTCTCTCTTTTTCTCCTTCAATGCTGTGCTTGCCTAGTGTATGTAAGGCTCCAAGTTCTAGCCCCAGCACTGAAAAAGAGAAAGAGAGAAAGAGAGAGAGACAAAGTCAGAGAGAGAGAGACAGACAGACAACGAGACTGGAGCCCTTGTATGTTCAGGGCAGGTACTCTTTCACTGGTCCATACATCAGCCCCAGATTCTGTTTCCCCAAAGGTCCTTCCTGGGCACCTGCAAAGCTTGCCTTCCTAATTCTAATAATGGTGCCCAAGAGCCCATGCCTAGTTCTTCGTGGAAACCCGTGTTTCCAGCTGGAGGGCTGTTTTCCCACCCCGGTGGGGCCAAGCAGAGAAGCACCTTTCCAATGCTTTGATTTAGTCTAACTGCACCCTGGGCCCCGCAAGGTGGTCCAGCAGATAAACAGCGCTTAGCTCTGAGCTGAACCTCCTCTTGCTATCACACAGCCCGGGTCAGGAGCACCTGGGTCATTTTCACCCGGAGGTTTTTGTACTTCTGGAAAGATGGGGAGCTTTCAGTTGCACACCTTCTCAGATGGATTCACAGCTCCTTAAAAAGAAAGTAGGCCAGTGTGGTGCTATGCTGCTTTAATTGCTGCACTTGGGAGGCAGGGGCAGGTGTATCTCTGTGAATTCCGGGCCAGCCTGGACTGCATTAACAAGCTCCAGGCCAGTCAGGGCTGCATAGTGAGATATTATCTCAAAACAAACAAAACAAGGTTGTTTACTTTGTTTCATTGCCTTTTCCCTCTTTGCATGCCTTTCCTATTCTTTCAACAAAAAAATAAACTTATTGCAGGCTGTTTCCCATAGTCTTCAGACCTTGGCCATGCCGACCAGAGAGACAGACGCATCTGCCCTTCTCCTGTCAGACTCCTGCTTCTGTCTGTTCAGCGCCGGGTGGTGCTCTTCACATCTCTGCCCATGCCTGTGTTGCCAGCTGCTGGGGCTGGGGACATGCCTGTGCTGGAGTGTGGCCTGTACCTGTGGTCACTGCTTTCCAGCAGGCCAGAGGCTCTCCTAACCCAGGGTCCCCGTTGGCTTCGAGGCCCTCTGCAGGTGCTCACGTGACTGTGGGGCCCTCTGATCGCAGTGCAGCCCTGCCATGCAGACAGACCCGAGCGCCTTCGAGCGCAGCTTGAAACCTTGCTTTTTGCAGGCTTTCGGTGTAGGTGCCCTAGAGGAGGAAGATGACGACATCTACGCCACAGAAACCCTATCCAAGTACGACACTGTGTTGAAGGACGAGGAGCCTGGAGATGGCCTCTATGGCTGGACAGCCCCCAAGCAATACAAAAACCAGAAAGGTAATTCCTGGCAGCCCGGGCGGCAGTACTGGTCGTCAGGCTCCGGGGAAGGAGGAGTTGGAGGGTCTGGTACTGGAGCACCAGACTGTGTAGTTATCAGACAAGCAGACTGCGGCTTCGAGACGGCTCAGTGGTTAGGGGCACTGGCTGCTCTGCAAGGGCCTGGGTTTGGTTCCCAACACCCAGATGGTGGCTCAGAGCCACCCATAACTCCAGTTCCAGGGGACCTGATGCTCGCTCTCTTCATAGGCACCGGGCACACACATGGTACACATACATACATACATTTAGACAAAACACTCATTCGCCTCAAATAGAAACGAATAGCTTAAAAGAAATATGCAGGCTGAGAAACATCAGAAGCTGGCACAGTGGCTCATTCTTATCATTCTAGCACGTGGAAAGCTGAGGCAGGAGGCTTGCCGTGAGTTTGAGGCTAGCCTGGGTTATGCAGTGAAGGCTTAGCAGCCCTGCAGGGTATAGGATTGAGGAAAGAAGTGAGGTGGGAGCCACAGTTAAAGCCAGCCGTGAAGGCGGGGATGACGGGGCCGGAGAGGCCTGGGGCCAGGAAGGAATGAATACGTGGCCCCGTGCCACAGTGTGGTCAGACAGCAGTGAGGACCAGGAGTTCAGCGAACTGGTCGCTAGACTCAGCCAACGTAAACAGCCGCTCAGAAAGCCAGGTTTGGGGACAAGTGACAAGGCCAACAGTCTTTAGCACAGCAGAACTTGGCTTAACCTGTGTCCCCTTGAGGCCTCATGGGCTTTTTTTTTTCTTCTTCTTTTTCTTTTTCTTCTTCTCTTTTTTCTAGTTAAGGTCTAACTATGTAGCCCAGGCTGGTCCCAAAGTTGTACTTTTCCTGTCTCCATCTTCCAGGTGCTGGAATTATAGATGTGATTATTAGAATTATTGCCGTCTCTCAATACACCTTAAATCTCAGCCAGGCTCTGGTCCCGTGGTTAAACTGGCATCCAGTTTTGCTTTCTAGAAGTGGTACAGGGAACTAGACACGAGAATTGGGAGCGTCTGATACAGACTCAGTCACAGTGCCCTAGACTCTGCCCAGTCCCCTCCCCTTCCCACACCCAAAGACATATGATTTATAAATTTGAATCCCAGCACTCCAGGGAGGCTGAGGCAGGGTGATCTCTATGAGTTCAAGGGCAGCTTTGTCTACAAATCGAGTCCAGGACAGCTAATGCTACACAGAGAAATCCTGTCTCAAAAAACAAAAACAAACAAACAAATTGTAAGTGTTACTGTATTGTATCATAATTAATAGTTGTGTGCTGATTTTTTTCCGCTACATAGCTAATGTATCGGTACCATTGACAATGCTCCATGTTGATTATATAATAATGTAAAGTAATTACTGATTGGGCATACCCTAGAATCTGATGGGAGAGTAAATTGACAAGATTTATCTTAGTTATATCAGTAATTCATTTCAATCAGCTACAGTTATATTGCATCACTGTCCGCTTTCCAGCGGCCGGTAGTTTGCTCTCCGAGGCGAATCTTTCACTCTTCCTGAATAGAAGGACTATTCTATTCAGGACTATTCTATTCAAGACTACTGCTGTTGTGCACTGCAGGAAGCCTGAGCCGAGCCTTCCAGTGCTGTGACGGTAGTGCCCCTTCCAGGACCACAAAGCCTGCAGTTCTGACCCTGAGTCTGGGGCTGTTTTGTCTCTTTTTAAACTTCATCTATTTATTTATTTTGGTTTTCCGAGAGTTTCTCTGTGTAGCCTTAGCTGCCCTGGAACTCACTCTGTAGACCAGGCTGGCCTGGAACACAGAGATCCACCTGCCTTTGCCTCCCGAGTGCTGGGATCACAGGTGTGCGCCACCATGCTCAGCTGCTCTTTTTTTTTTTTTTAATTTGTACATATTCACTGCACGTACTCGTGTTCTTTTCATTTCACCCAATCTCTGCAGTTGACTTTCAGATTTTTTTTTTCTCCCAGCAATTAATGAGGTTGAAATGAATCTTACGAATCTCTGCAGAAAGTCTTCTTGCAAATCACAGGGTTGCCTGTTCAGCTAGCCAGTGGGCCACCCCTTTGCTCAAGTCGGAGGGCGTGGGTCCCTCCATTTCCTCACTTTGTGGTCTTTATCTGTCTACTGTTAGCGTTTTGTTTGCAGCAGCACCCTGTCCTAGGGTGAGGTCACAGCTGACCTGGTTGTGTTGCCCGGGAGCCTTATTTGGCCTGTTGCTAAGGAAACTGGGAGACAGCCACCCCGGGGCATTATGTGAGAAAAGTCCTGTGCTGTTGGGAGTTTTCTTTTGACGGCTTTTCCTGAGAACTTTCACTCCACAGCGCTCCCAATCTTTGGCGGGGAGGGAGGGACTTCCCCTCGCTTTCAGAGGTGTCAGGCCAGAGTCCTTAGACTCCTGGCGAGGCAACACATCACGGTGCCTGTGCAGACGCCGTCCTTCTGAGGCCCCTGCTTTGAAGACAGTGCTGGGTACTTGTCCTGGGAGGGCAGAGGCTGCTGTCTGGGCGGCTGGTAGCAGAGGGCAGTTGGGGCTGAGCCCCACTGTGTCAACAAAAGTATGAGAGCTTGAATGTGATTCTGTCCCTTCATGCTCCTCCCAGTGAGCTCACCCAGGGTGCAGTGTGTGTTCTGGAGGGTAGGAAGTCTTTTGTTTCACTAATCACCTCAGCTTCTGGAATTAATCAATGGTGTCATTTTGTAGAACCAGAGAGAGATCTTCGATATGTTGGCAAAATTTTGGAAGGATTTTCCTTGGCTTCTAAACCTTTATCTTCAAAGAAAGTAAGAAAATCTTTACATTAAAATTATTTTTCCTGGTCTGGTGCCTATAGTGTTTATTTTAATATTTATACATTCTTTATTTTAATATTTTAAATATTTTTAATATTAAGTAGTTAATTGAGCTGTAGCAATGTACTTATAAAAATTTGCTATTTCTTATGCACATTCTTCTGTTAAAATTTTTTAGAAGAAATCTGTGTGTGATGGTATAGATCTGTAATCCCAGCTCTTGGGAAACTGAGGCAGGAGAGTCCTTAAGACATGAGGTCAGTTCCCAAACCCATGTCAACAAAGTAGGCAGATCCCCTGAGTTTGAAGCCAGCCTGGTCCACAGAGCTGACTTTCAGGACAGCCTGAGCTACATAGTGAAATTCTCTTTCCAAAATGTCTAATGCTTAGGCTGGGCTTGTAGCTCAGTAATGGAGACTGTGTTCAGTGTGTGCAAAGTCCGTCACCCCCAATAAGCAACAGAACCCCACTTGCCTTTTAATCGTTCTGTTCCGCAGCCATTAATGTCTTCAGAATCTTAATCTCAGTTTTGTCAACTTTTCTCTCCCTACCCCCCGTCCCTTCTTTCTCCCTCCCCCATCCCCTCTCTCTTTTTTTTGTTTTTTGTTTTTCCAAGACAGGGTTTCTCTGTGTAGTCCTGGCTGTCCTGGACTCTTTGTAGACCAGGCTGGCCTCAAACTCACAGAGATCTGCCCACCTCTGCCTCCCTGAGTGCTGGGATTAAAGGCCACCATGCTCGGCTCTCCCTGTCCATTTATTTATTTATTTATTTATTTATTTATTTATTTATTTATTTATTT